TGTGATACATTCCCTGTTTCGCGAAGTGCGGCTGCAAGTGGGACACAATCAGTTGGAGATCACACCCTCCATGGGCACTTACCCTTACAGAGCCTACTTGGAAACCCTGGAAAGTTATGGTACAGGAGCCAAAACATCTCACCTTCGATGTCCTGGATGGTTCACCAACGATGCTAGTAAAATGGACGTCTTCAATCCTGATGCAGATGCGAACACAAGAAACACAGGTGTCAGAACGCGACGCGATCTTATCATATCCAGCCAAAGAAGTGGAACTGACAGGCCGTCTACACTGTGACCTGTTTCTTCAAGACCGTTATCTGCTGGATGGTGTCCCTATGAAACTGGAATTGTTACGAAGTCCCGATGAGTTCTTCTTCATGTGTGCTGCTGATGGTGTCTACAAACTAGCGCTGACCAAAGCCGAATTCTATGTCCGTCAGCTCAACATCGATCCTGCTGTCCGAGAAACACACGTGTCCAGTCTGAACGCTGGGGTGACTGCCAAGTATCCCCTTTCACGTGTGCATGGGACTGCCCATGACATCCCGAGAGGCGGTAGGGACTTTCACAAGGATCACCTAATCAGTGGCCAATTACCAAAATGCGTGGTCCTGGGACTGGTGGACAATAGTGCCTACGTAGGAAGCAAAGAGAAGAATCTGTACAACTTCAAACACAATCATGTCACCATGATGAAGCTCAAAGTCAATGGCCAGGAAGTCCATGGCACGGAAATGAAAAGCGACTTCAGCAACAACAGTGCCCATTTGAAACAAGTCTACATGAATCTGTTCCGAAACACGGGGCAGCTATGGCGACCTGAGACCTGCGAACTGACTCCCAAGGCCTTTACTCAAGGTTACACCTTGTGGGTGGTGGATCTCACCCCAGACCTTGGCGCTGATGAAGGCATCAACTACCCTCAACACACTGGCAAGTCGGGTTTGGAAATCCAGTTTGGACAAGCTCTCGAGGACCCAGTCACCCTCATCTGCCATGAGGAATACGAAAATGTTCTGGAAATAGATCGTTTCCGGAATGCGATGATGGTATAAAAAGAGCAGCGACAGACGGTCATGCCACACTTTTTCTCCTCCTACAAGGAACCATGGATGAACCACTCGGGTTGAGCACCTTGGATTTAGAAGCCCTCGTGGCTGATGACGAACCACTTCATGCCATCTACCGGGGCACCCTGGCCAGAGATGAATTTGCCAGACTGGGATGGCCCCTTTTACCCCAAAGCCTACGTGATCAACACAGATTTAAGCGATCAACCTGGCACACACTGGGTGAGCATCTATCGTCCAGCTCCTGGATCCGTGGAAATGATGGATAGCTATGGACTGTATTCATTACCCCTGTTTAAAGAGACTTTGAATCGCATGGGTCAGATTCAACAACGATGGAATACACGCCCCTTACAACATGGATACAGCACGTTGTATGGGGTGTACTGTCTCTACATGCTGACCTATCGCGTGCGTGGGTGGACTTTTAATCAAGTGTTAGATACGTTGGACTGGAAGGACACCGCCAAGAATGATGCCACGGTATTAGCATGGTTTCATACCAAAGTGTCTACCTCCGTACCTGTGGATGAGATGCCTGCCTTTCGACTGAGTGCCCAGACGCGTACCCTACATCAAAAGAACCAACCTTTCTGCCCTTATTGACAGGACACTTGTTCACTGAACCTACGATCACCTGACTGTCAACATTCCTGATTGAGGAGTGTACATACGTTCACTGCGTTTTAGGAATGTACATACGTTCACTATCAAAGTGGCAAATGTTCTTTTTTTTCAAACTGTACATACGTTCACATACGTGTACATACGTTCATGTTCACAAAAGTCACAGGGACGCCCCTAATCCTGTGACTTTTGTTTTGTTGTGTTTGTTCATGTGAGCGGGGCATTAAAAAAAGTTGAACCCATAGTAGTGTTGTGTTGTCTGTAAGATGAAGAAAAACAAAACAGGATCGCCATGCACACCCCAGAGAAAACCAAAACCAAAACAAAACAAGATCGACATCTGACCGCTTCCTGCATTCCTACACCACGTCCATGTCTGTCGATTCACCTTTAGAAATTCAGGCAACACCTTTAGCACCTTTAAATTCACTTTCCGACTGTCACTTAGACGAACGACTGTCATAGTGGGCTACAATACACGATCGCCTTGTGGAACGAAACCTTACAACTCAAAGTTTACAATCACATGACATGATTTGTGGAATGTTGTTGCAAGATTCTTCGCCGATATGACGTCAACCTAGCAACAAAGTGGCAGAGTCGTCGACTGTGTATGATAACTTTGATAAGCTCGTCTCAGTGAGCTATCATCTCCACATGCCATCACCCCACACCCACCAAAACAAAACAAAACAAAGAACCCGACTCCCCTCCCTCCTTCTTCCCTCCCTTCACCACCACCCTCCCTTCACCACCACCACGTCAATGTTTAGAACAACAACAAAAGATTTTTGACGCGCTTCTTTCAATGTCGATCCTGTTCACCTTTTACGTGCGCTTCTCCGGGTTTTCCCCTCCTCCCCGGAAACGGAGGCGACGCCCTCTTGGAGGGGCGCACGCCACCGGACACGGATGCGACGTCCTCTTGGAGGTGCGAACGCCACCGGACACGGATGCGACGCCATCTTGGATGCGCGTGCCACCGGAAAAGGATGTGACGCCCTCTTGGAGGCGCACGCAGGACCCATCATGCACTGTGCAGGTCACGTGACCGGAAACGGAAGTGCCGCCATCTTGGATGCGAACGCAAGTCCCATCATGCCCCGCGCGCATGCGCAGGTCACGTGACCGGGAGTGACGTCACAGAGGTCACGTGATCATCTCGACCAATCAGAAGCCAGGAGCGGTTCTGTAATCCTGAGCGGTTCCAGACAGATGTACACAACTACTTATGTTAAAGAATGAGATCGCTTTGTGCAAGTGGGCCCAGGTCGCAAGGAGCTTTGCTGTAGCCGTATAACAGTCACCAGGCTCATGGCCCGTTTGGTCATCCATATTTTGTTATGTGTTTCTAATCTCCAACCTTAACCAACAAGAGAGCGGGCGGACCAACTTTTTTAAAAGTAAACAATTAAAAAAAATGGTTTCAAATAATTGCGTAACATATTTTATGAATTTTTAAAGTTTAGAACACTTGGTAACAGCTCTTACTTTAATTTACTTTGAAACGTTTTAATGTAGCAGCGTAATGGATTGGGCCAAGTTAAGACAGACCTTGTGATTTATGAAGGCAAATATATATTTCTGGACATCGTTACATTGACCAAGTTCTCCGCCCTGTTGTACTACCGTTCTCATGAGAAAAATCCGGATCCTGTTTCAGGACGATAACACAAGGCCACATACAACGTCTTGCCTTCATCAGATAAGCAGACTTATCACCCATAGAACACTCGTAGACCACCTTGACCGTCAAATTAGAGCACAAGTTAGCCCTTATAGCAAGTGAAGACTGGCGTCGAATCCCCACATCTTCTTCCTATCCCGTCGTCGACTTGGCAGGCCGTGTGCATTGATGCCCGATGTGGACACACGCGATATTGCCTGAAACCTGTGACATTCTGAAGTGTCATGTCTTGACTTCAGTCTTGATGGTTGATCGTCTACTGAACAATGAACCCCAACCTCAAAACCGTCGATACAATACCTACGATACAATGTTCTCATCCTCGGCATTACTTGTAATGACGTTAATTCATGTCTTTTGAGTAAACAAGTATCTTCCATGACATTCGTCCTGTTCTCATTTTAGGAACACTGTTAGTCGTTAACGCTTCTTTTTCTCATCAGTTTAGGCTGTTGCAGTACATATAATGTTTATGTTGTATTTTCTTTTCCAAGTAAGGATAAATGATGCTTAATGGGCGTTTCATATCACAGTCAACAACTATTTCACTCACATCACAGCGGCACAATTGAGTCAATAACCTTGTCCAATCATATGACAGAGTGGCTTGTTTGGTGTGGCTTCTTGAAATGGAAGAATTGAAATGATTATTAATAAATTAATAATGTGTTACAGGCATGGTTTCGCTCCTGCTCACGTCTCTACGTCAAAAACATGACTTTGGTCACGAAATACTCGTTAATTATACGTTAATTATATGTTTCTCATCTAAAGATTTTCACCGAGAAAATAAATGTTTAGCCGCGACGTTACGAAGTTTTAGCCATGGTCAAAGGGAGACAATTCAATCTATTTTAATTCCATTGGGTAACGCTATGGTCATTGTAGCACAATGAATATCATTGTTACTGCAGTGCCGATTTACCCAATTTGGCATAAGCCCATATCACATTAAATCAAAAACGACGGTACAATATATTTTTTTATGATGGCAAGTGCAGACGACATGACGTATGCTTTAGGATTTACCGATCTAAAGCCTGGACCTGTTTGTTTGCCACTCAGCAATATTCCATCTATATGACGGCCGTCTGTAAATAATCGAGTCTGGACCAGACAATCCAGTAATTGACATGAGCATCGATCTACGCAACTGGGATATGATGACATGCATCAACCAAGTCAGCAAGCCTGTCAGTGACCACCCGATCCCGTACGTCCTCTCTTACAAGCATAGTCAGTCGCCTCTTGAGACAGGCATTGATTGCGGAAAGGCAATTCTAACCCGGATCTTCACCCGTCTAAATCCTTGCGGTTAGTAGCAGTTAACAGCAGTAAGGTCGTCTTTACTTATTTTTGTGTTTCTCATCTCCAAGGTTTTCCTAGAGGGGCGAGCGGGCGGGAAGAAAAGGTTCATTATTGCAGAATACTTATTTGAGGCTTTGACGAACTATACCAAATATTTAGACATATGTCTGGTCGGCTATTATGTTTTAGGAATATTTTTTTTATTCATTAAATAAGAATGACCTTATCTTGTTAGGTTTAAATTTTACGACAAAGAAATATTATTTCCTTAGTGAAGAAAGATATATTTTAAAAGCATTCGCAAATTCCAGAACTATTTTATTTTATAAGCATAGAATTAAACTGAGTTTTATGCAAATATGCATTAGAATGTATTGAACGTTCTGGAGATAAGACAGTAAATCGAAGCATGCACTGGTGTATATTTGTAATAGTGGTATTTGCCCGATACGGTTGGCTACCCTATCAGTTTCATCTATATTTATATGAAGTATGAAATGACAAACTATACGTACGTATAGATGGAATCATTGTTAATGTTACCAAATTGGATCATTGCAAGTGAACCAGCTTGGGATGTGTTTGTGTTGGTTTGAACCGACCTTTTCTGGTACAAAGTCACTTTTACTCGGAGTTTTTCAAAAGTGGTAGTAACTTACGTCCACTTAAACGACAAAGGCTGCACAACCCCGAACTTTATAAATAACATAGATGACCGTCTATGTGATTGCAATTGTAGCAGGTTTTCGTGACAATTACTTTATCAAATATCAGGAGGTAGGGGGAGACGAGAAACACAAAAATAAGTAAGGACGCTTACGACACGTATCAGGTACAGAGGTCTTAATCTAACCAGGAATACTGCAATGTAATTGATGAATTTCAAGCAAGAATGAAACAAACACTTCAGAACAGAACAAACACACACTTTATAAAGCCTATAACAAAACATTGATAGAAGTAACAAAAAAATATATTTTATTGCAATGTACTTTGTATCACATGCCCAAAATTGTTTATTTAAATTTATGGATACTTAAGACTGATTTGTCAAATTGTAATAAAACAGGATCGTTGTTCTAAAAAGTTCTAAACTATTTCTATAATTCATATCAATATTAACAGTTCATCTAGCACAAGAATAATTTCTTGATCCATCTGAAGACACACGAGCAGCAGGCTGCAACAAATGATTGTGTCTGCACAGACACCATAGAGGGCTGAGGGCGTTCTGTGTCATCAAGGTCACTCAGATCAATCTCCACAAAGTCAGCTGTGATGACAATGGGAACATAGGCTGGCTGAGGGGATGGGTCAGAGAGGGGGATCTCGGTTATGGGCAGGGATGTCAGGGGGGTGGACCAAAACTCAGATTCAACCCTAGGGTGCTTGAAAGTAAAGAGACAGGCAACTTAACGATTAACTCTCCGCAAAAGCAAAATTGATGAATAGTACACAAACTGAGGTTCCAACGATCCGAAAAAGGAGAAAAACAAAAGACACTTTATGGCAGGTATCCACTGTTAGATATTATTATTATTATTATTATTATTATTATTATTATTATTAGATGTGTGCAATTACAGAAACAGTAGATTTAACAAAAGAAGTTAATATTAGTAGCTACAGAAAGGGTGTTAGAAAGTGCAAGTTTAATGTCGTAGGTCTTTGAATGCCTGTAACTCGAACAAGAATACCAAATACAATTGATGCGAAACAGCCTACGGTTGGTTATAAGAGTAAATTATTGTGGCCCCCTGATATCTACAATATTGGCAATATTGCTGCTACAAGACGTGCTCATAGAAATAATGTCGGTACAAAATGGCTACCGTGGGTTCCTAGACAGGCCTAATGATAAACAAGAGTTTGCCACTAACGTGGCTATATCCCCCGTCACTGTTGCAGAATTTATGACATAATTAGATCTAAACAAACCCTAACTTTTTTTAACCGAGGTGGAACTTGTCATAGAAATTGTAAAAAAAAGAAGAGTTTGGAACCTAAGTCCATCTTGTTCAACAACACAAAATCAACAAAATGAAATACAGTTTTGGAAATGATAAGGAAATGTGGGTATCTTTGTGGGTAGCATCGGTAATGGTGACGAAGTTTTGATAAGTCACTTGCTTGGTAATTGTACGATTTTCGTTTACACTATGGAAACGTAAAAAATAAAAATTTCTAGAATTTCTAAATAGCAAAAGGCACCAGTTCAGCATGTACTTGACAAACCTGCAAAGTTTCATTAAAAAATATTGAACGGTTTCTGAGTTATGCTCCGGAAACGAAACGTGACGGACGGACGGAGCCCGTTTCTATTTCCCCGCCAACTTTGCTGGGCGGGGGATAATAAGATTTGCTAAGTATAATAAGCAAATCGCCTGTGAAAAAAACAGAGCAAGCGTGCCCCCGTGGTGACCTACTGGATTTGGGAAGGAATGGTCCATTTGGGAAACAGCCAGGCTGGGTGGAGGAGTCTTTGGCTTGACTAGTTCATCGTGAGCTGAGGCAAAAACGCAACATTGTAGCTCAGTGCATTCATGCTAAACGTGTTTTCTATTACTCACCTGTCATATGATTTATTGTTTTAATCACACCTTACAATCCATCACACGCAACGTGAGCAATACATTGAGTAATGGCAACTGGAAATATGAAATATGCATTTTTTAAAGTTTGTGAATGAAAAACGGGATAGCCTTTATCCAGACTAAGGTGAGAAATGAATTAAATAGAAAACAAAGATTAACCTAGAATGTTGTATACGTATCACAGCTCTGGTAGAAGAAATTCTAAACAAAACGTTTACATAAAAAGACTCATAACAAAACCGTGGGTTTACATCCAAGCAGATTATGAATAAATAGCAAAATCAAAGAATCTAAAAGCCAAATTCAATACCTTGGTAATACACGCTTGCTACATTCGCAAACATGATTCACCAAAACGGGATAAACTGTCAGAAAGCAAAATGCAGCGGAGAGTAAGATTATTGAAGTAGTGAAGTCAACAACAAAATGGCGTCGTTTGAACTGACAATGTCACCATGGAGACTTGATCTCGCGAGAGTAAAGGAAATCGCGTTTTTGGTGGTTCTCGGATGTCTTGGCGCTTCGAAACACTTGCGCAAAACCGTCGCCAAGTCGCTTGTCTTCGACTTTCCATTTCTGTTTCGGTCGACCTTTATAATTGAGGACCACAAAGTTTACCATCAGGTCACAATACAATACAGTTTTGGACATTTTGTTGGAAGACATACGGCGAAACTGAGCTGCCAGCTCCTCTCTGTGATCTATCATCTCTACATGCAATGTCATTGAATAAGGCAAAAGATGTTGCGAGATTTCAATATTTGTTTAGTAGAGACCGCCTGAGGCGGCGCACTTTATAGCAACCGCTTGTTTACGAAAGTATTTTCATTTTCAATAAATTAAACAAACATAATATTATTTTTTTCGATTCAATAATTTTAATTATTATACACAGGCATGCAGTCCAATATGTAGCCTATTTGTTTATTGACGCTGCAGACATCAGAACACTATCTAACGTGGGACATCTTTGTATTTAATCAATTAGGTTTGTAGACTCCGGTTTGTCAATTACGGGTATTGCTTTTACATTTTTAGTTGCAGTTATTCTCCACACAACAACGTCGAGATAGTGAGCACTTTCACATACATTTTTCAGTGATGAGAAATAAAAGACATATTTGGAAGGATGTACAAGTTTCCATATTTCAGTCACTCGGTGTCGTGTATGTAGGTATGCTGGACTTTCCAAACTTGTGGGAAAACATTCATCTGACACGCCTATATAACTGAAAGATTGTTAAGTGCTGCCTAACCTAAACCTAACTCACGCACTAACTGTACATGTCATACAGATGGTTATTTTCAACCCTTTATGATTTGTTTAATCATAATGGACTTAATGAGCCCATTGTAAGATTTCGAGCATGTCACAAACAAACAATCACGTCGAATATATTGATTATACCAGGTGTAGGATGTACAGCTTTCCATATTTCAGTCACTCAGTGTCGTGCACGGAAGTAAGAAGTTAGAAGCTAGACTTTGGGAATAAACATTCACCTGGCACTGACGTGCCGCCTTTCAACTGAGATATTGTTAAAGGCAATGTTAACCCAACTAGCTCGCTTGCTCACTCTACCTGTAGACAAAGAAGGTTCTTTTCAACCTGGGGGGCACGGGTGGCCCAGTCGTCTAAGGCGCCGCGATTCGCTGTGCAGAGTTGCGTCCCATGGACACGCCAGAAAACTATGATTGTGGGGTTCGAATCCCGGTTTTTCCCGATTATGTTTCTAGGTTTGTCAGCACCATACCCGTGCTCGTGGGTTTCACCGAAGTGGTAAACGTCTGAGACCTGCATCACTTCGGGCTTTCCTCCCATATTAAGCTGATACGCCGCGATATAACTGGAATACTGTTAAAAGCAGCGTTAAACACAACTCACTCACACTTTTCAACCCGTAATCATTTCTTTGTAACATTTTTGTGGTGTTGACCAAACGTCTTCCATGTTGTACAAACACATGTTTACAGATAAATAAACAATTGTGAAATGCTAAAATGACCGATGACAATATCACAAAGCTCACAATTCAAATCCCTTCCAGGATTAAAGCCAATTCCTTTTACGGCTTTCGGATAAATATTCTTAATAATGATTTGATATTAGCCAATGATATGATTGTTGAGAAGGAGGCATCGACATAATACAAAAGAACAAAGAGCGTCTATAACGATCTAAATTTCGGCTGATATGTAGCAATCGGAACACACTCAAAACGAAGTCTTCCGAAGGTAGGGACGACAGTGAAATCTACAAGCTGCCAACAGAGAGCGCTGACATAATCAGTCATTTTTGTCCAGACTTGTCTGAAATAGCCGAATCTAAACTGGTTCCACAGTTGGTACGCGACGCAAGCTTAGGACGATTTAGTGTAGGTAGACATATAAGAAATCTAGACAAGACGGGTCGCTATGACGTCATTAGGCAATATTGTGACGTCACGCCATTGTCTGACATTGTCTCAGCTAGCTACAGCAGCACTGCAGTACACTCTTCATTTATCGAGATTATCGAAGCATTATGCCAGTCACCAGACGTCTGACCGTGTCCGAGTGTGAAGGGTTTGATTCCGAGGTAGCGGAGTGTTTTTCACGTACAGAACTGATAGGTATGTGCCGTTATATATAATGCCAGAATTTAACTTCAAAGAGGGTTTAAGAATCAACCACTGTATATCCACCACTTCCTTATATTAATTTTATATGAGATATTTGATTTACACTTGCCAAAAGGGTGGTGATTCTATACTAAATCCGGTTATTGCTATTTCAGAGTTTCATGATTCGGTTCCCAAACACGTCACAGTAAAACCAAGACCAGTGGCAAGGCGTCTGACCGTGTCCGAGTGTGAGGGCTTTGATTCCGAGGTAGCGGAGTGTTTTTCACGTACAGAACCGACAGGTATGTGTGCCGTTCGTACGTTTAACTTTCGTATCCCTGCAACTTCATTTGAAACAATAGTTTCTGTATCAACTTATTTTTCTTTCACTTATTTAATACAGTAAATGCATATGTGCTGATGTTAGACCTACCATTGAGTTAATTATAGACTAAATACCATAATTGTGCTTTCAGAGTTCCATGATTTGGTTCCCAGACACGTCACAATAAAACCAAGACCTATTCGTCCCGAGCCACCATTCCAATGGGACTGTAGTAAAAACGAAAAACAAGCCAAGGAGCACGAGCTCCACGTTCAGCTGACGGCGGTCCTGGTTGAGGTGGACATTCTCCGGGCTGACCTACGAGATGCACGACTCCGTTCCCAATGTCTGAAACTGAAGAACCAACATCTTCAGAGACAAGCCAGACAACTCTCGGAGGAGAAAGTCTCCCTCGGGGAGCAGGTGGATCGCTTGGTGAAGGAGGTGGACATGTTGAGAGGTGAAAGACTGCGTGTACATTCAGGAGAGGGAGAGGGTGTTGGACTTGTTCAGAGGTCAGGGGCTACACAGACCACGTGTTTTGACCACATTATCCAATCAAAGAATGGAATGCCTCGTGAACAAGACAATAGGTCAACAAGACATCATGAACTCTCTCAAAGTAGTCTGTCATCAAAGAAACGTATGTCATCAAGCACAACCAATTTAATAGAAAACTGTAATCAGAAACAAAATGTACAAAAGTCAAAATCTTTTTTTGGTCGTTTTACAAAACTGTTCAGAAGAAACAAATGTTAATGTAATTCAATCCTTCCTTTTATAAACCAAATATCAATTATATGTTCAACCCCAAAGCAATGTCTTCGTTATTTGTTCACACTTTTTGTTTGAGAGACCGATTTATACAAGCGATATACATAACTACCATATTAACATAATGACAACGGTTCACCGTCCATTCTTGGGTGAGTAAGAAGGGTTTGACGCCACATTTAGCAGTATTGTGTGTAGGGACACACTGGGGCTTAACGTGTATTATATGCACGGATAATCAAACCCGAGACTTTAGCGTGAAGAGCGTAACCACTATGTTACTCTATTAATTACTCTTATCCACTCAGGACATAAATGTGTCAGATTACGTTTGATTAGTCTCTCATTCATTATGGAAAGAAAAACTAACATCCCAGTAACCCTCAACCACGTGGGTATGTTTTGTCGTTTGTTTGTTGCTTAACACCGCACTCAGAGATATTCCAGCTATATGACGGCGATCTGTACGTAATCAAGTCTGGACCAGATAATCCAGTGATTGACAACATGAGCATCGATCCACGCAATTGGGTTGGTTGGTTGGTTGGTTTGTTGTTTAACGCCGCACTCAGCAATATTCCAGCTATATGACGGCGGTCTGTAAATAATCGAGTCTGGACCAGACAATCCAGTGATTAATATCATGAGCATCGATCCACGCAATTGGGATCGATGACATGCATCAACCAAGTCAGCGAACCTGACCACCCGATCCCGCTAGTCGCCTCTTACGACAAGCATAGTCGCCTTTTACAGCAAGCATGGGTTGCTGAAGACCTATTCTACCCCAGATCTTCACGGGTCACGTTGGTATGTAAGTGATTGTCTAAATCGTGGTTTCTCTATTGTCAATAAAGGTAAAAACAAAAACAACATTTATGATAAGTCGAGATATATCGTCAAGTACGTAGCCTTCGTGCATCCGAGAATCCATTGCTGCATTGGGCATCTATATAACGTATCCGCTGCATCATGTAGAACTTCAGGCCTGGACACAGAAGGAGATAACTGCTATAGACAAAGATGGTCCTCAGTTAGTGTCGTGTTATGCTCAACGCACTCACGTGTTATTCTAGTCTGAATGGGGGCGCGGGGGGCGTAGTTGTCTAAGGTGCCTCACTTGGTTGTGTAGAGTTGCACCATTAGGTGTGCAAGAAACCTATGATCGTGGGTTCGAATCCCACATTCGTCCTATTTATGTTTCTATATTTTTATGTTTCTACATGTGCTTGTGCATGGGTTTCATCTAAGTGGTTAACGTCTAAAACATGCATCACTTTGGGCTTTCCTCCCACATTAAGTTGACATGCCGTGATACATCTTCCCGAGGCAAGTGAGTTAACTGACTATAAAAGTCAGTGATTGACATCATGAGCATCGATTCACGCAATTGGGATCGATTATATGTATCAATCAAGTCAGCGAGCCTCACCACCCGATCCCGTTAGTCGCCTTTTACGGCAAGTATGGGTTGCTGAAGACCTATTCTCCAACTTAGTAGCTATTTATTCTCAGCAGGTATTTCAAGTTTAGTTATCGGATGTCCGTCTATGCGTGGTTCAGACTTCACAGCTTTTTGCACCGGCAAACAATTAAGTGCTGTCGTATATATGGATGAATAGCATGTCTGACTCTGATGGCGTTTATCCCGTATCAGAACATACAGGATACTTTGAGTGATCATCATACCTAACAAATAAATCGCAAACTACCTGCATGTGTCGACCTCCATATGGATTTGATATTAATGTCTATATTGGTTCCATGCTTTAATCGGTCATAATGTATGTGGCACTGTTAACACCATCGGTTCCAGATGACATTTCCGGGTATGAAATACTCAAGAACAGCCGCAAATATGAGAATTAATGATCATAGTTAAAATCATAGTACATGTGACAGAATCGATGAGCCTATGGTAACACCCGTCTTCTGCTAAAAATTGTGTTCGTATTGATTTCAACAGCATACGTGTGTACAAACTTCGAATGTAATTTATCTTCCTTGCAAATCTCTCCTTATGTACAGCAGTATAAAGTATCAATGTGCTCTGTTGACGAGTTCTATAGTTGATGCATCTGTTGCATTTACATATCCACGAACTATTTGAGGACGCGCAACCACGCTGTGTAACCATCCAAATGAAATGGTTGAAGTGATTCTTCTTTGTGGTATATCGATGACTTCAATTTGAGTGAGTATCTCTTAACCTGTTTTAGGCATATTTCAGCCTTATCATGGTGGAGGGGTGTGCGATAGGGGGATGGGGTGGGGGTGTATGTGTGTGAGAGTGTGTGTGTTATGGGGGGGGGGGGGGGGGGGGGGGGGTGTTGAGTGGTATGCGGGCACAGAGAATAGGCTTCACGAATTACACCCTCGTAGGAAAGTTGTCGTTATGACAGTGATGCTTCTCATACTTCCTGAAGTTCGTGTACAGTTCAAGTGATCTCTCTCGTGTTATTCTGCAGCTTTACCATATTCTCTCTATTATTCAGTGATTCTCCGTTAATCCAGACTGAATCGTGCGAAGTGAAATCTTCCGAATTAACAAATAACCGGTTTAACTAATGACGGATCCACACGTACTGGTATCGCTTCAAATAAATATCCATGGACTTTCCCAACAGCAGTTAGCATAATTTCGGATTAACGGGGTTCCACTTTAACACATAACTCTATATCTGCAGCCGTGGGTAAGCCTAATGTTAAAGCGTTTTCTTGTTATTCCGTAGACCGGGGTCCTATTCCTCACATGGGTACATTGTATAAAGACCAATTTAGTGTTCCCCATGCGGTTGTGATATGGCAAATTGCTAAATGTGACATGAAGTTCTAATTATTCGTAGCCTTATTTACTTCTGAGTAACCTATCTAAAAAGGTTACTATCTTTCACCGACCTCAGATCACGCAGACATGCATGTGGTAGACATGGGGGAAGTCATCAAGAGAATATACCAGTCCTGTTGAAATAAATTCGTGATTCAGTGCATCCTCAACTATCCGGGGAATTATATCTCCATGCCATTATGATAAATACCATTCCCCACCATTTGCATATAGCTCCGTTTCTGATAAGACGTCATCTTCTCCATCGCTAACTCATGAGAGTTGGACTTCTTTGCCATCGGGTGTCCCAGTTGTCCAGGGCGCAGCAAGTCGCTGTGCGGAGTTGCGTCCCTTGGGCACGCCAGAAACTTATGTTCGTGGGTTCGAATCATGATTGGCCCGATTATGTTTATAGGTTTGTCAGCACCATACCTGTGCTCATGGATTTCACCAAAGTGGAACGTCTCTGAGATATGCATCACTTCGGGCTTTCCTCCCACATTAAGCTGATACGCCGTGACATAACTGGAAAACTGTTCAAAGCGGCGTTAAACCCAAATCACTCACTTTTAGTACTGGGTTAGTTTATGGAGTGCAAGCTGACTATCCACAAAGTACAGATTGGTTCTTCCACTGTAGTCAACTGTATGGGGGTTAGTTGACTCATCACACAGTGAACAACTTCCCATTAGAGTGCAGCACATCCAGATTACACAGGGAACTCCTATCTTCATTTCCCGAAAACAGTAAAGTTTAACTCACGCGTGAGAACTATGATAACACGGAGTTTAACCAAAGATAATTAATTGTGTCTAAATTGTATTTACACTAGAATTATGATTCCTCGTAGTATAGTGTTAAGACAATAGGACCAAGTAACTAATGTTCAACACTAACAAACTGTGACCACGGGATCATGTAACTAATAGGCTACACTAACAATTTGACCACTTTCTAAATGGCATTGTGTATTCATAGCTTTCGGCCATGGGAGCCGTGCCAATTTACACTTGTCAGAGGGGTACTCAAAGTACGTGATCTAGACTACCAGTTGTCGGACTTTCATTTTTGTGGAAGCCTCGGTGGCTGAGTGGGTTAGATCGCTGACTTTGCCTCATTAGGTGCCTCACACTGGCAGTGTGGGTTCGAATCCCGCACGGGTCTCAACCCAAAAAGTACGAGAATCTGTACTTTCCTAAGAAAGTGTTATCCCAAATATAACATTTTCTAAATGGCATTGTGTATTCATATATCAACAAACTCTCGAAACATATGATCAGTCGTAAAAAGTATTTTAAACGGAGTATATCTTCTTTCACGAGATCCTTGCTGAGTGTATATAACTGCATGAACTTAGTAGGTATTATTATTGTTATCATTTTAAGACATGTTAGTTGTTTAAAAAAATCAACTGTATTTAATATTCAACCTATATCAGTATGGCAAGATTTGTTTTTTATAAATAAATTAGTGTTACCAAATAAATACTATGTGTTAACTGAGATAAATAATAAAGTATTATGTATACTCATTTATGTTGCCCTTATATGATTTATAGTAGACCGACGTTATGAATTGTTGTTGGGCCCCAGGGACCAGGTTAGAATGGATTGTAGGAGGCGCTTCTGATCACGTGGTCAGGCTCGGTGACTTGGTTGATTGCGTGACATCGTACCACGACGGCGTAAGACGTTGTTCATAATATCAACCATTGGTTCGTCTGTCCCGGACTCGATTATTTACGAATAGAGATTAGGAAAGTTGACGACACCTTTGTCATCCTAAAACAAGACAAAAACCCAACCCTGCTACTACAACATCTTAACAAACAACACGCCCGAGAACAGTTCACCATCGAAATAGAAAAGAACAACCAACTACCCATCCTAGATGTCCTCGTCTCCAGAAGCCCAACAAACAGAATCCAAACCAGTGTCTGCCGGTGGCCCACCCACACCAAACAGTATATCCACTTCAACTCCCACTACCCCCCTTAGAACTAAGACTGGCATCATCTCCACCCTCACCAAACGACCCATCAACCTTTCTTCTGCTGGCCCCAAACCTGAGATCGAACACCTCCGCCAAGTCTTCGCCCACCTCAACAATTACCCACCCAATCTCGTTGACAAAGTCATCTCCTCTGTACTCAATCCCACACCCAGATCTGCGACCCCTAAACCCGAATCAGCGTCCTTCCGCATCGCCCTCCCGTTCATAGGAAAAGCCTCCCACATCATCAGTCGCCTCCTCAAACAGCAAGCTATTATTGACACCCACTTCACCAGCTCCCACTCCCTCAACACCCTGCTGGAGGCGGTCGGGTAGCCTAGTGGTTAAAGCGTTCACTCGTCACGCCGAAGACCCGGGTTCGATTCCCGACATGGGTACAATGTGCGAAGCCCATTTCTGGTGTCCCCAGCCGTGATATTGCTGGAAAATTGCTAAAAGCGGCGTAAAACCATACTCACTCACTCACTCTGCTAAGAGCCAACGGCAGGAACACAACCAAACCCCAAGAGCCTAAAGGTGTAGTTTACAAAATTGACTGCAACTTTGGAAATCTTACGTAGGTGAAACAACCCGCCCTATCAACACCAGAATCAAAGAGCACAAAACCTCAACCATTCAATCAGACAGTAAATCAGCCATCTCGAACTATATGAGCAACTGTCCTAAACACAACATCAACTGGGACAACGTTCAAATCCTCCCCAACAACTTCATGATTTCACTTAAAGAAAACTAACAGAAGCAGTCCACATCCGCCGCCACAAGCCATCAATCAACACAGATCAAGGGTATATCATCCCTTCCACCTGCTATGAACTCATCAAGCATAAACACTTATCCTGTTTATTTGGCTTCATGTCCCATTGGCTTCTACCTGTGTGTTCTCTGTCCATCGTGTTGTGACAGTATTATCTTTCTGTTGTCAACAGTTACTCATGTTATCCCACTCATGTTTGCTATTGTTGTTACTGTTAATCCTCTACCGTTAATCCTCCACCTACTATATATATTATGTACTTTGTCCCTCATTCAGTCTTGCTTGACAACGGTATATGCATCTATACCGAAACGTCGCTTTTTTCAGTATTAAAGAAGTTGTTATCCATAAAATTGTGTCTACCTTGTAATGTAGTGTACATACCCCAATCCGTGGCTGTTAACTTCACTCATATATGGTATCATAAAATAAAATAAATATCAGTTAGATTATGAGACGATAGATATGTATGTGTACAGATAGGTGAGAACGGAGAGTGACTGGTCAGTTTCGATCAATACACAACTTCGGATATACCGTCGTTCGAATACCTATACCATCACCCATGCAATCAAATGTTCATTTCAATCAATTAACCTGATTTTCCTCTACGGTTATAACGACAATGTATCGCACTAATACAGCTTATTCACATCGCCGTGTATGTATGTTGTGTATGTGTCATTGCTTCTTATTAAGTGACCTTTAATCAGGAATGGTCGAACATTAAATAACCTTTAACACCGGATGGCAACCCAAATGGAAAAAAAACTGTTAACAAAACAGCACTTGGTACGGTTGATATATTACGAACAATTATGTTATCTGTCATTCGCTTATGACTAATACAACACTTAACAATTAGTCTGTCTGTCCGTCTCTGCAACAAAGTAAAAATAAATTCTTCAATTAAAGCATCGTTATTATTTCACAGGTTTATATAATATACTACGTTCCACCGTCAGGCATGAATGGGGAATTTTGATACGTGTTACCAAAGGAATCTCTTAGTGAAAGGAAAATTGAAAGTATTTCTGATAATCGGTATGGCCAGATTTTGCAGTGATTAAAGCCTCCGTGAAATGTTGGTAGCAAACGTACTTTGCCTTTATTGATGTGATTACACCCTAACAAATAATGACACATGCAATGTTAACCATTTCAGCGAAGGAAAGGGGAAAAAATGTATTCAATTTAAGGAAAGGGAACAATGTATGTTATTAACAGGTCTCGAGCGTAAATTGCAAGTGCCCCGCCCACTTTTCCACATGGCCGGAAGTTTTTCATTTCATGCGCATGCGCAAAACGTGAGGTTGGTCGACATAACAGGAAACAGTAAGTTGCATTGGCACCAGTAGTGATGTGAACATTTCAGACTTCGAAGTAAGTTGCTCTGTTGATTTTTATGCATAGTGCATTTTATTTATCTTCATATACACCCAATCAGGAGCGTTGGCCAATCCCTGTCACTTTATTGAGTCGATAAGAAACCTGAGTTATCAATATTAGCTGAACATTTCGGAGTTCAGATTTGACAGCGTTCACAATATGAGAGTGACAGCATCGGAATGGACCATTTCTATGAGCAGGAGTCGGATGTTAGGTTTATCGTATACTTTCATTATCAAGACCATGCCTAATCAAGTTTGAATTAAAACCGGCATTCAATCACCATTGGTTTGAATACTGACAATGAATTTCCATTCGAAATGAAACTCGATTTATGAAAAAGCAATGTGTGTTGCTAGATAACCAATGAAGTTTCGACGTGTTACAAAACTTAAAAGTTCATGTTACTCTAAATTCCTTACAATATTCACGTTGTAGTATAAGTTAAAATCCTCATGTTTAGATTCATAACATTAAAAGTATACACCTTCCACTAAATGATTATTGGATTTTGACATGTGTGACACTGACAAAATGTTTGATGAATCGTGAATGTTACTGGTGTCAAATTCCTCTTCAAATAAAAATGTTTATCTCGCCACAAACGGTCGCCAAAATTTTATTCCTATGAAAACCCCCAACAACAATCAGTTTTCTTATCAAAGTATGTAGATGGTAATGTTATAACATATACATGATATACATGTAGGAAAAAACACTCTATATATATGCATATAGAAATGCCTCAGGGATGTTAAATCTGCTACATGCCTTACTCTAACTGAAATAATGTTCAAAGTGGGGTTAATGTAGCCTGCAACCTTTGGGTATCGCAGTACTTGTTATGTACAAAATGCACTCACTAACACTATGATTATTCATGTTCTCTATATCAGAGGTCATTTGTTTTATCAAACTCTGCATATTTTACTGATGAAAGTTCATTATTTACTCATGCTGAGTGAAACCAGGCCTTGTGCTCAGCTTGATATGGGAGAGAACTCAAGCGTATCACAACATGGTGAAAAATTGTGTATCGAGGCCAGAATTGGACAAAAATAAGCATAAATCTTCTTACTAGAAACTTCAGTGCACAGACAGCCCATGTGAAAATTCTGTTAGTGTAATAATTAATAGGTATTCAATGCACATGTTACATATTTACTGAAAAGTAAGAAAAAAATATTTTAAAAAGTCAATAACAAAATATCAGAAAAGATATTTTGAGATTGAGTCAATTTTTTAGTTTTTATTGGGTGAAAATAATTTGTCAAAAAATGTGAAAAAAATGTTAAAAGGTAACATTAAATATGTAAAAAGCACTCCTTTAATGACATCAGAATGTACTTATCATTTGGCTTCAGACTTGTGAAGAATGTATTGCTAGGTATGGGATCATGGCCAAAATTTGAGGACTATGTCTCATCCGTTAAATATGAATATGCAGACGATCTAGTTCAGGTCAATAGAGAAAGTTTACTTGGTAAACTGCGGGTTGCATCATTGTCCATTAATAGTTGGGGGTAAGACAATATTAAAATGTTGCCAGAACTAGTATCAACATATTAATAAATGCGGACTTACAGTGGAGAGAACATTTCAAGGAAATTGAAATTGTTTTCATAGAGAGCACTTCGGGATGTGTGTCTCACATGAACTACTGGAAATAGCTATTGCTGTGACATGATTAATGCTGTGGTACCACAGAGTCTGAGCATGTAACTATATTATCGTGGGCTCTATATTATCGTGGTATCGGTAAATCTTGTAATCCACACCCCTTGCTGAATGTGTACTTATGCAAATCTAAGCACAATATTTCATCGCTTGATCGAATACAGGACTTGTTGCGGTATGTCACAGCTACTCGTAAGTATACACCTTAACTTTTTTATGATAGTTTCTGGAATGTTTTAAAGTGGAATTACCCCTACCTCCATCTAAATTGATTAGAAAGGAACCCATTTGTTTGGACGAAGTCCCTTGACCCAACCTACGTAGTATGGCTGCTGATTATGGATAATCCCAAACAGGAATTGATGTAAAGTACATATCCCACACGTATCATACCACAAAATATCAATACCACGATAATATAGAGTTGCCTACCCTTGAGTCGCTAATCATGCTAATGACAGGTACTTTGTTTAACAAATTTTGTAAAGGAATCTGAAAATTGATCAATCCTAATTGATCTGTCATAAAAGTATTTTGCATATGTATGACACATTAATAGTTTAGTAAGTGTGTGCCATTACATTCCATTATAAATTAATTACCGCAATAATATGGCGTACCATGCTAAACCCAGTTCACGTACTGTACTGGACCATGATACAGCCATTTCAAATTGATTCAGATTGACATTTCCCTGCAGGGGGCTAAAGCAATCTTTGACATAGCTAAAGAAAGAACCTGTGAACCAGTCTTAAGTTTCTAAAAACCTTTGTTAAATATTACATAACTGTCCTTAAAATTTATATCAATGTGATAATTTGGATGTTTTGAGTTCGTGATTGAGTGAAATGTTACTTTTGAATTTTATTTACCAATCTAGGTAAAATACAGGCCTGTTGTTCAGGTTGTTGATGTTTGTAATATACCATGGTATTCTTGACATTATTTAATCAAGATGAGTAATTTGAGTTTTATGCCTTAAGTTTGATGGGGACTGGGAGGTTGGAAAATGAAAACAAATGTAGTTAAAACTACTAACCGTGCTTCACTTGTAAAATATTGTTTATTTTAAGTTTGATCATGTTGATAAGGTAAGTAGTGAGTCAATAACAGTATCATCCAATATATTTTGGTCATGAAAATAGTGTTCCTTTCTGTAATACGTGGATTTGAGATGTGATTGTTCCCTTGAAAACACTGGTATGATCCTGTTTTTGACATGATGACAAATGTGCTACATGTCAATGCTTTCATGCTTTTGGGACAAGTCTGCAGTAGACACGGGTCCATTGACTCCAGTCTAGTACATTTTCTTAGGGACCAGTGGAATTAATTTAATGAAGTTATTTTTTTTAAATGAGGGAACAGGTGGCCCAGTGATCTATGGCACTGCACTTCTCTGTGTAGATTTGCATTCCTTAGGCATGCCAGAATCTGGTTATTAGGAGTTTGATTCCCTCTTTCAACCTGATTATGTTTCTAGGTATGTCAGCACCACACTTGTGCTAGAGGGTTTCATCAAAGTAGTTAAAATCCTAAGCATGTAGATGTATCAATTTCTGCTCTGCTGTGATGTTACTGAAATCTGTTGAAAGCAGCATTAAACCCAACTCACTCACTCATTCTTATTGACCTGAAAATCTAGCCCATTTAAACGAGTGAACCTTATGTGTTAACTAAATTGTGAAACATTATATCAGGTTTATTGAATGATTTGATGAATGTTTGGTGAGGCACAATAGTGAAAACGTATATTCTGTACCAGCAAGTTAAAAGAAAAAGACATACCTAAGATTATGGAAGAGAATATATCATGGATGTCAACTTCTTTATTATGAGGAACTAAACGTTTATGAGTATATGCTTACTCCTTCATCAGCATGATCAGGTGATGACGAGGTAAGCATATACTCCAAAACGTTGTGTTCCTCATAATAAAGAAGTTGACATCCATATATTCTCTTCCTTACGTGAATCAATTCTAGATGCCTTGATACCTCAGATTGCCACTGCTGTAACCATTGTTTTAGGAATGTATGTAAGGGTCTTTGTTCAATATTTAAGATGGTGTGTTTAGAGATTTTGACATTTTGTGACATTGAAAAAAATTGAGACATTGACACACTCATTATCCGTCGCCTGTCCACAGATGAAGACATGGAATACTAGATAAGTGCAGACTGCTATTTATTTCTGTATTGTTGATAATACAAAATTATTAATATAAGACACGTTGATCAGTTTGAAAGAACTACCTAGGTATGCACAATAAAAATCTGTCACATCCACAGTCACACCAATATAAATTTGAATTTGATTTGCCAAAATACAAACAAACAGTGTTAATAACTGTTGGCTGATTTTAATCAGTCGTGGCTGAGTTATCAGGGATTTATCTAGACCTGCGGAGAGGCTGATATTAGTCCCCAGGTCTGCAGCAAATGTGAGTAAAATCTCCCAAATTGGAATAGAAAACTTGCAAATTGATAATGTTGAGACGGTTATCATGGTTATGCTAATGTTATGGCTTTGTAGAAATTACTAAAATTGCACTGATACAGGACCGAAAAAGATCATTTAATACTCTGTCTTGCATGTTGACATACAAGGTTAAATTCTTCTAAATTTAGGAAAATCAAAACATAAAAAAATCCAAATATGAAACAAAATAATTAGTTTTTTCCCTACAGTGCTAGGGAACAGTGGATGGATTGCTACAGTGGATGGATTGATGAAGGACAGAGCTGTTTCTTCTGTTTTACTTTGTTGTCTGTATTCAGTTATGGGAATAGACAAAATATTTTTTCTTTATGCACTGTAAGACTTATTAGTTGATGTAATTGAAACTATCAAAATGGAGCAATGAGTTTGCTGTAAAACCAAGTTGTCCAAGGACCCATGTGAGGCCAGAGAGAAATATTGATTACAACATTGTAAAAGTTGGATGCTATTGTCATGATTTTTATGAACATGATGAATGTGATACTTGTGTGTAATATTTCAGTGATGTAAAACAAATTGACTATTTCATTTGCATATTCCCTTTAGTAGCAACCATGCTTGTTGTAAGAGAATTGGATTAAACTGGTTTGTCTGGTCCAAACTTGACTATTTAAAGACGTGTAGCTGGAATATTTGTGAGTGTGGCGTTAAAACAACAAACAAAGCCTATTCCCTTTAAACGATATGTGCTATGTATGTTTTATAAAAGCAGTTATAATTATTACTGAAATATGAACATGCTGTAAGAGTTACACATATAGACATGATAGAAGAAAAAAGGAAAATAGATGGAGGCATATATTATTTCAGCCTAC